AGAAGGAGAAAGGGAAACGGGAAGAGAATGCCTGTTCTTTTCAGTAGTAGTTTGTAAGAAGTCTGTCCATCTGCAGGTACCAATACCATCAGCTACCACTACAAATACTTTCTTCTCTTTGTTTTCCTTGTTTGAGACTGGAGGTGTGTGTGTGTGTGTGTGTGTGTGTGTGTGTGTGTGTGTGTGTGTGTGTGCTATAGGCCAAGGTTGGCCTTGAACTCACAATCCTATTGTCTCAGCCTCCCAAGTGCTGGGATTATAGTGTGCACCACCACACCTGGCCTAGAAATATTTCCCCATCATATTCATCTCATGGACAGGAAAAGAGGCTCAGAGACGGCACAGCTGAGATGGCAATCCAGGGCTACTTAGACCAAGTCTAGGAGCATCACACACACTGCAATGCAGAGATGGAATAGCGTCAATCAAACCAACGTGTCAGAGAAAAGCAGGCACAGCAAACTGCAAAATGAAGTCCAGCCCAGCTCGGGGAGACTTGCTAGACATTTAAACTATACGTTTAGAAAGCAACTGTTTTCTAGTAAGGCCACTGGCTTACCTAGTTGGCTAAAATCACAATTAACTTACAGCATGCTGTTCTTCAACCACAGATCAGACACACATCTATAAAGATTAGATGTAAATGTGCCAGGGACAGTAGCGCACACCTTAATTCCAGCACCTGGGAGGCAGAGCTTGAAACCAACCTGGTCTATACAGTGAGTTCCATGCTAGCCACAGCCACATAGTGAATGTCTCAAAAATCAAAAGAAAAATAGTATATAAATCAAAGTTTTAAAAAATTAGAATGGAGGGAACAGTGAGATGGCTCAGCTGGTAAAGGCACCTGTCACCAAGTCTAATGACTTGAGTTGGACCCTGATGCACATGGTGGCCTCCACAAGCATGCTATGGCACACAGGCCCTCACACATTTAAACTAATTAAAATTTAGAATGGAAAACAGGATTTTCTGAAGGTTAAAACTAACCTTAAGGTAAATACCTTCCTAGAGTAAAGCATTCCTCATGCAACCTAGCTGACAAAGCATAGATTCCTCTGTGGCTATAATCATGCTCTAGGAGTGCAGAGGTGCTGAGGGAGCAGAAGTGACCAAGTCACTTCTCAAAACATCCTGCAACAATACATCTTAAAGTGTGTCCACAGATCCTGGGCAACAGAGGGGCCTATGAATGCAAAGTGACTTCCATCGTAGTTCTACAACTTCTCCTGTGTTGAGTTCTGACTGATGAGGCAAAACAAAGATGGGCAAAAATGCTTTTAGCCTGAATCTAGGCCGTGGTTTCCAATGGTACAAACAGCTGTTGTATTCTTTACTGTTGTGTACTTTGTGACACAAGCAAACCAAGGTAGAATAATCTTCACTTAAGAATAGCCCAGTTAGCTGGGCAGAGTTGTGTACGCTTTTAATCCCAGCACTTAGGAGGCAGAAGCAGGTGGATCTCTGTGAATCTGAGGCCAGCCTGGTCCACATACTGAGTTCCAGGACAGCCAGAGCTACATAATGAGACCTTGTCTCAAAACAACAACAAAAAACAAAACAAAAAATAAAAAAAACACACGACGAGAAAACCAGCCTGGTAAGACAGTAAATATTAATTTTCTAACCCTCAGCCCATATGTATCATTTTAATATTTCAGGTGAAGAAATGGGAAGCATGCATCAAGTAACTCTGCTACAAGTCAAGAACAATAGTTCTTCCCAGACACACCAGGAAATGGTGGAAGTTGCCAGATGAACTAACAGTATCTTGTGTGGAAAATCGTTTTTACTTGTATGAACAAGACACTAATTATGGCTCTTCAGATTTGAGGATCTGGCAGATATTTTCTCAGACACAAATGAAGCGAGCCTGTCACCAGGGAAACAACTGACAATATTTGTTGCCAGTGATAAAATCAAGTTTTCAAGGGAAAACAAGTGGCGAGGTGCCTCCACCGCTTCTGTAGTTCCCAGGACTTAATCTCTTTCTTACAAAACAGAGGAGATGACGACAGTCATAATATGACTCATTTTCCTTAGGTTTTTGGGACACTCTTACTCTGTAAAACAGAGTGGCCTCAAACTTGGGCTTTTCCTGTCTCTGGCTCCCAAGTGCTAGGATTACAGGTGTGAAACACCACTTTCATCTCCTAATGTGATTTTTTTTTGATAATGGGTCATTTCTAAAGTCACCATTTGGAGGATTTGCATGTTACTTAGCCAGCAGTTTCCAAGTAACCAATAGCTAAAACTATAACACTGGATATGGAGAAAACAGCCCATAGATCAAAGGGCAAGACAGACCAATGGAATTTATTATATGAGTCCCAAGTTCACTAACCACATTGTAATTGACCTTTTAGAAACTGTCACTCGCTAGCTTTGATGTAGTGCCAAAGTGTCTACAGTTATCTCAAAAGGTAAAGATATTCATTTCCCATCCACTTATATATATATGTGTGAGGCTATCTGTTCATATTCATTAGCCAAAATAGCATAATTATTGGTAGAAGTTAGGATCCTTTAGCAGAAGTAAGAGTTCACCAGTCTCCTTTTGACTCTTTGAGACAAAGTATCACTATGTAAGTCAAACTTGCCTTGAGGTCATGGTCCTGCTTCAGTCTCCCAAGTGCTGGGATAACAGACATGCAGCCCCTATGTGCATCTGGCTTAGCTGTTTTTTCTATTAAGCTGGACATGGAGATTTGAGAAAATGTAAAATAAGCCATGTTTAGTTTCTCATGCCTTTAATTTTCAAGAGACTGACGAAGGAGGTTCAAAAGTTCAAGGTCTGCTTCGACTACAGAGTTCAAGGCTAGCCCGTAAAACTTACTGAGATTTTTTTAAAGGGATGGGAGACCCACTTGGTACATAGCTCAGCTGTGGGGAACTTGCTTAGCAGAAGTGAGGTCAGAGTTTAATCCCTAGTCCTAAAAAAAGTGAACGAAAAGAGAGAGAGAAAGAGAGTTAAATAGCATGGTGGCATTTGCATGTAATCCCAGTACTCGGAAGCTGAGGCAAGAGGATCAGGAGCTCAAGTTCATCCTGTCTACATAGCAAGGTGGAAACTAGCCTGAGATACATAAGACCCTGTCTCAAAACAAAACAATATGGGAGAGAGGAAATGTAAAGCAATAAAATTCTTTTACTATTTTGGAGAAGGGAACATGTAACTATTTTCATTAAAAATATTTAAGTTCAGGAGTAAAAGTCTATTTTTTTGTTGTTGTTGTTTTGAGTCAGGGTCTCCCTATGTAGCTTTGGCTGACCTGGAGCTCACTGTGTCGACCAGGGCACTCTTGAATTCACAGAGACCTCCTGAGTACTGGGGGGAATAGCACACACCACCACTCCTGGCTTGATGTAAATTCTAAGTGAATTGATATTTTGAAATTTTGTATTTATATGGCAACATCACATTATAATACATGCTAGCAAAGGTCTTTTTGTTTTTGTTTGTTTGTTTGGAGACAGGATTTCTCTATGTGTAGCCCTGGCTGTCCTCGAACTCAGAGATTCTTGAACTCAGAGTGCTGGGATTAAAGGATTAAAGGCATGAACCACCACTGCCCAAGGTGTTCAAGGCCTAAAAGGTTTTAGAACCATTCTACAGCAGCACTACCTGGATCTCCCCTCAGGGCAAACCGGTGTGAAACACATTTGTTTGTTTTTTTAAGACAAGGTTTCTCTGTGTAACAGTCCTGGCTGAACTGGAACTCACTTTGTAGACCAGGTTGGCCTTAAATTCACAGAGATCCACCTGCCTCTGCCACCCAAGTGCTGGAATTAAAGGTGTGCCATACCACCACAACCCAGCCAAAAAACATTTATTTATTTATTTATTTATTTTTTGGTTTTTCGAGACAGGGTTTCTCTATATAGCTTTGCACCTTTCCTGGAACTCACTTGGTAGCCCAGGCTGGCCTCGAACTCACAGAGATTCGCCTGGCTCTGCCTCCCAAGTGCTGGGATTAAAGGCGTGAGCCACCACCGCCCGGCGAAGACATTTTTTAAAAAGTTATTTATTTTCATTTCATGTGCACTCATGTTTTGCTTGCATGTATATCTGTGTGAAGGTGTCAGATCATCTGAAACTGGAGCTACAGACAGTTAAAAACTGCCACGTGGGTGCTGGGAATTGAACCCGGGTCCTCTGGAAGAACAGCCAGTGCTTTTAACCTCTGAGCCACCTCTCCAGCCCCCTAAAACACATTTAAAAAAAAAAAATAATGCCTCATGTACAAAGGGCAAAGACATCTTTTAGGCACATACAATACATTCAATAGTAGCATGTCTTTCCATACTGCATCCACTGGCTATCAAAGGAATGCAAATTCCCCAGAAGAGGCAGTAATGAACTGTGAAACAGCACATTAGCATAGACCATTCCAGGTTCTCCAGACATTAGTGTTCCCATCTGAAAAAGCTGGATATCAGAATAGCTAATTCCCAGTTGGCTTGTGAGCACCCATAGTCATTCTAACCAGCCTGTCTCTGGTCTTAAAGCTGACTGGCTGTCATAGTCTGAGACTTGCTCCCGAAGACATTTGACTAGATCTGAGCAACAGCTTCTTTACAGATTGGAAACTGGTTTTCTATCACAGCCCACCAAACTAGCCCCTGTAGACGTGTGCACTGGCAAGCTCTGGAATGAAAGGCTTCTAAAAACCTCTTCAAATGTCCAACTCCCATAATTCTACTTCAGATACCGTGCCCAGGAGTCGTTACGCTGCCTCTTATTAGCTATTTGACTTGGAGCAGGCAAGTTGCTTGCCCTCCTGGCCTCAGTTCCCTTGTCTGTAAAACGAATAACGATCCCAAAAGAATGCTGTGAAACGTGTCCTTGTAAGAAGTTGTAGAAGCCCTGGCTCCGAATAGTTAAGTACTGAGTTAACACGAGTTACCAACAACAAACAGCAAAGCACATAAAGTATTCCCAGCCGTTTCCTTCCACTCCTGATGCCAGTAGCTGACATACTCCCAGAGGGCACGCTTACCTCCAACCAATTTCCACATGCCCAGTGCCCATCCCAGGACCCCCGCGATCCGCCTTGGTTCTCCCCAGCGCCAATCTCTTCCCTGTCCCCACTCCCGTGGTCTGAGAGGACTTCCTACAGGATCACTCCCCAGCCGCGGTCCCCATCCCACACCACCAGGCACCATCTTGGGCCGGAGGCCCTGCGGCCTGATATTCTGCCCCGAGACGCCTCCGAGGGATGAGGGGACAGCCGCCCGACCTCCCGGCGGGGCCCACGGACACTAACCGTCCATCCCTAGAGGCGGCGGTTCCGGGAGCCCGAACCGGAAGCGGCCCTGACACTGTTTGCAGTTCCCCTGGTTACTACGAGGTTCCGGACCAATGGCGAAGAAGCTGCGTTCATTGAGCCCGCCTCCGGATCTCGTGACGTCACGACGGAGCGCTGGGACTTCCCCTCAGCTCTGGGCTACTGGCCCCCCTTCCCCAGGCCGCCGATCGCTGCGCGCAGGCGCGCTAGGCCCGGACCTCGGCGGCGAGGTGCGCAGGCGCCCCGGGCGCTGCTAACTGAAGCGGCCATGGACGCCCTCGAGTCGTTGTTGGACGAGGTGGCCCTGGAGGGGCTCGACGGCCTGTGTCTGCCCGCGCTGTGGAGTCGCCTGGAGTCCCGCTCGCCTCCCTTTCCCCTGATACTGGAGCCCTACACGCAGGAGTTTCTGTGGCGGGCCCTAGCCACGCACCCGGGCATCAGTTTTTACGAGGAGCCGCGAGAGCGACCCGATCTGCAGCTCCAAGACCGGTCAGCCACCAGGGTGGGGTGGGGGCTGAGAGCCATGAGGAGACGGGGTGCAGCGGTGCAGAGCGCCTGCCCGGGACCGAGGGACGGGGGGGGGAGGGGCGCGGGGGGGCGGGCTAACCTGGGCTCCCTGCGCCCTGGCAGGCCCAAGAGTGATGAGCTGGGGGAGGGGGGCAACCACTGAGACCAAACTGTTTCCCAGTGTGTTGAGAGAGTCAAAGAGTTCCTTTAAGTTGGGTGGTAGAACCGGAGCACGAAAGTGGTTGAAAAGTGGAACCAGGTGAGGTCCTTCAGGGACCTTTAGGGAGCGTTCGTTCTGAAAGCTAAGGCAACTAGAGGTCTGCACAGCACCAAACATAGCCGTGAACGAATAGCTGAGGCGTGTTGGGCTCTTGCCTTAAGTGGGTTCTGGTCCCAGACCCAGTTCTGGAAGCCACAGAACTCAGATCGGGTACGGTGATCTGTGAGCAAGACACTGTTGTCTTTTCGCTTTTCAGAGGAGGAAACTGACCACAGAGAGGTTAAGGGATGTGCACAGGATTCAGGAGTTGCTAAGTGCACTTTTACCTTCTGTTTATCCGTCCTTCTCCAGGAGTAGATAATGTTCTAAACAAGAGTTCTACCACTGAGAACACCTTTAGCCTCAGCCCACCCCTCTTCAATGTTAACATTAAGAAATGGCTGACTATATAGTCCAGTGTGGCATCATACCCTCCTGCCTCTGCACCCGAGCACTTGGATTGCAGGCATGCCCCACCATGCCTGGTAAGTCGGAACTCTTTATGCAGGTCAGAGGAGGTTCCCAGAGGTAATAAGGAGCCAGACAAGACTTAAAGGTTATGATTTAGGCAGCCACTTGGCAAAGAGTGCTCTGAACAGACAACACCAAGTAGGACAGCCTAACAGAAGGGAGGCTCCATGTGCCTGGAGTGTGAGCTGGGAAGAATGGGGGGTAATAGTGCCACTGACACGTGCTTGTCGTGGGGTGTGACTGAAGGTATTCACAAGGTGCAGAAAGTTCTATAACACCCTCAAGAGGTGTGTATTGTGAAGAGGGAATGAGGCTCCACGGGGTTAAGTGGTCAGGGTCATCAACTAGTAAAAAAGATTCCAGAACTTGAATCCAGGAAATCTGGGGCCAGGATCCTCTCTGCCCTTAACCAGATTTGACTGAGAGGGAGCCTATGATTATTTAATCCACTTGAAGAAGCCGTCCTTTACCATAAAGATAATAGGAAGTCACTGAGTAAGACTAGTGGCTGAGTGCAACCGAGAGACCCAGCCATAGCCTCTCAGAGACTGGTTTGTCATGGTGGGGATGGGAATAAAGAGAACATGGGATCAAGACATACCAGGTAGCCAGGTATACTGTGCCACATGCCTGTAATCCCAGCAGACTCAGGCAGGAGGATCTGAATTCAAGACCAGCTTTAGCTACATGGTGAGAACCCATGTAAAAAAACAAATAAAAAGACATGTTTAGGAAGACAGTCTAGATATTTGGTGACTGGTGATGTGGAGTGTGGAAAGATGGAAATGGAGGTCCACGTACTCCGTGTCTGTTGCTGAGACACCTGAATGAACACTAATCCCCTTCACTGAATGGTGGACACAGAAGAACAGTGTTGAGTCTGAGGGAGTTACTAACTGTATTGTGAGTCTCCTTTGAGTCTAAGAGAAGCCTGTTTAGTAAATAGAATCGGGTGGGTTAAACAGCCAGAGGGAGGGACTAGGCTAGACCTTTGTGAGTCATTCCTTGCACTTGGTAATTAAGAGATCATCCCTAGGACTGTGTTGTGATTGGACACCTCCCTAAGCTACACCTACATTTCAAGGCTGGATGGAGGACGCAGTGCCTTCAACCAAGATTAAAGTGTGGGTGGAGGAGAAAACAGGCCACAGTATGCCCTGGAAGACCTGAAAATTGAGAGTTAAATAGGACAAAGTTTACAGAAAGGACAAGGGTTTTAAAAAAAAGTTTTAAAGTATATATGTGGCGCCTCAGCTGCGATAGAGAAGGGTGCCAGCCGGGCTCCAAAGGCAAACAATACCTTACCTTAGTTTACCAGCTTCAAGAATGCAGCTTAAGATGCTTGCTGATAAGAGGCAGCTGAGAGGGTGTACTAGGCTCCAGGGACTTGAGGGGAGGCAGGGAAGCAGGCTTGGGTGGAATTGGAGCAACTATTGAAACCATAAAAATGGATAAGGGAACTGGAGAGATGGCTAAAGGGAGAAAGCTGTCCGAGGAAGACAAACGGGGGTCAGGGGGGGTGGCGCGGGGGCGGGGGGGCATCTAAAGACCAGGAACTAGATCTGGAGGGAAAACAAAGGCTCTGGCCAGGAGACTGGATCAGGTCTCCGGGGCTGGGTGGATTGGGATCCTAGGAAGGTCTTGTTCTCTGTGATAGAGAGATAAGAACCTGGGCTAGAGGTGTAGCTCAGTTGCTTTGAGCCTTACAACTGTATAAAGCAGGTATGGTGGAATTACACCTGTAATTCCAGCATGTGGAGGGTGAAGCAGGAGGATCAGGACTTCGAGGTCATTCTTGGCTGTATATCCTTGCTTAGGATACATGAGTCCCTGTCTCAAAATGAAAGAAAGAAAAAACCTGCTTGTCAAGATTAGCGGCAGGCCAGGCTTGGTGGTGCCTGTGTGTAATCCTAGCACTCAGGAAGCTGAGGCAGAAGGATCAAAAATTCAAGGCCAGTTCAGGCTGCACGGTTGTATTGTCTCAAAAAGAAAAAGACTGTACCTGTGAGTGACTCGACTGAGTGTCTCTCATCTCTTCTCCCCTCTGGTCTCTGCAGGGAGTTGGTGGGAGATGCCAGGTGCATGTTATCGATGAAGCTGAGTTAGAGCTTCATGTATGTGTTTTCCTCCCTAGATATGAAGAAATTGACTTGGAAACTGGAATTCTGGAGTCCAGAAGGGACCCGGTCACTTTGGAGGACGTCTACCCCATTCACATGATCTTAGAGAATAAGGATGGCATCCAGGGCTCCTGCCGATACTTTAAGGAGAGGAAGGACATTACCAGTAACATCAGGACCAAGTGTTTGCAGCCTCGTTGTACGATGGTAGAGGCCTTCAGCAGGTAATTGACTCACATTCTCAGCCGTCCCTTGGTGCTGGGTGCTCTGCAATCAGATGCAGCATCTGGTACATCTTCTCAATGTCTGCCAGAGCTTCCTAGGCCTCCACCTTCATACCACCCCTGAGGTCTGGCTTCTGAGTTCAGTGGTCCTGACTTCCTGTCCTTTGTGTCCACAGCCCTAGAACAGTTGGAGCTGGGGTAGCCAGCCTCTGCCCAGCACTTTTTGCTCTTGTCCTAACTCTGTCCTGCACGCCCTGCCTTCCCTTTACGAGTTCTCAGTCACTACGTTCTTCCACAACTGACCGGTCCAGACTGCCATTTTTCTAAAGTGCTCAACCATGGTCCACCTCCTTCCTGTCTCCAGGTCAGGGAGAAGCTGCCTTTATGAACTCTGGGATCTTGCACACTGCCCTCTCCTCTTTACCTGAGGCCATCAGGTTGATCTCTCCCTGGTTGCAGTATCCAAGACTGTGGTCGAGATATGTCTTTCTCCTTCCGCTCCTGTAACCCCAGCTTCCGTGCCTCTTCCTCTCTCCCACTGTCTGTTTGCTCTTTCTCTGGATTTTTCACTTCTGCTCACATTCTGGGGCTTTTTCCTGAGCACACTGACAGGCTCACCCACCTGGAGACTACCACTTTTCTTCACCCCATGGTGTCTGTCTTAGAGTGAGCTTTTTGGAAGAGACACGGGGTTCTCTGGGTATCCATCTTCCCCTCCCTCTCACTCCTCTGCTCCATGCAGATCTGACTCTGGCCTAACACTATCACTCCCAAGGTCCTAACCAGCAAGTCTGTAACTCCTGAGGGGGAACATTGGAGGTCCTAGAAGCTTTGGCCCCAGGGCTCCCTGCAGTCTTCTGTTTTCCTCACTGATGCTCACCAGCTTTTGGTGGACTCCCCTGGCCCTCGTGCCCTGTCAAGGATTGGCTGCTCCCACATGTCTCGTGAGGTATTTCAGTAATGAGTCCCTCAGACTCTGGGGTTGTTTCCTTCACCACAATTGTATTTCTCACTCTCATTTCTTTGTCCTGTTCAGAGGTGTGCTCATGAGCCAGGCTGTCTCTTCTAGGCCCCTTCTCTCTGTGACATGCTCACTCGGTTGTCTGTCACGTCCTACTGCCTTATCTTTCTACATTTGTCTCCAGTAATCCAGAAGTCTCTCACCGCATTGGCTCAGTCTCTCCTCCACCTTCTATACTGATGGGAGGTCTTTCCTAAGATGAAATGTGATGGATGGATGGTCTTCCCATTGCTTGGGGCCAGGGTTTTGAACTAGCCACATCATCCACAGATTTGTTTGCTCAGATTGAGGTTGTATTTATTTTAGAGATTACTTCATCTCTAACATCTAAAAACATGAATTTGCAGTA